TTTGCCAGAAAATTGTGCAAGAAATTGTCCTCCCTTCTTCATCGCCCTCGATAAGAAGGATCGTTGTTTGAATATTACTTCAGAATTGAGATCAGCCACTCGTTTGTCATACCAAATATACTCGCTGCGAAGGGGCGTGAGCGTGTCCGAGGGGGTGGGCTTGGGGCGGCGTCAAACCTTTCTCCACCAGTTGTTGAAGCGAGTAGGCGACAATGATTGGTGGAAAACGTTATGAGCGCAGAAATAGCACGCTACTGCAGCCAGGACACGCCATCGCGTTGTGATCATTTCATAAAAAACACGACCCCCCTGTGATCATCACAACGATGGTGCGCCCTGACTGCAGCTGCGGACGTATTCGCTCCGCGTATGACAAGGACCGTCCTTGGAGGTAAGTGTACTTTTTGTCTTCAAGGGGAAGGCGCAGTGTACTTAGAGCCGCACTGCACATCCCAGCGATGGAGTGGGCGTGGCAGCGTATTTCACATGAACACAGCGTAGGATGCGCTCTTTGTGTGGTATTTCCATTAGATACGGATGACTTATCTTGTACTGAACAGCCAGGGTTGCAACTGTTCTGAAACTCCAACTCAAGGGAGCGCAGTTTCCGCCACGTTTAGCAAATACGCAGCCACGGACTCTCCATCTCTGGAATATGGAATATCAAAATTCAACTAATATAAGGCTAAACATAACGAAGGATTCATTGAAATAAAGTACTTTATTCATGTGCAACCGCTTTTCTTTGTACAGACATAACAAGTATCATCAATGTACATACATATTAATCGTAACCAGTAAAACATAGCAACATGCAAAGAGAAAGGGGTATGTGACAAGACAATCGTAATAAGCAGCGTGAGGGGGCGTGAAGAGCGATGCCGCGCTCGACGGACGCCTTGTCGTGCGTGGCATTTTGAGCTCGAGAGTTGAAAAAGGAAAAAATCCGATGCTCCCCGTCATAGAGTCCTGTCGAGGCTCGAATTCGTAGGGCATTGAAGCTCCCATCGACGAACAACGCACATTGAGAAACTGACGCGCCTTGCCGCATGGCACGCCGCGCGCGACGACGCGGCAAATTACGATTGTCCTGTCCATCCTGCGAGAAAAAGTGGGGTAGTTATTTCCCTATTACGAACAGGCTGTGAAAAACTACCCTGACTACGAACTACTGTCACTCTCAACAAGGCTCTGTCGGCAGGCTACAATCTAAGAGGTCCGCTTTTTGTCATGTATACGCCGTTATCCATGTTTGAAGGGATAAACTTGGAATTTATCACTGCTTCATTGGTCACCGGTCGATCAGCGACGGGATTCGTTTTCCTCTTGGGAGTCAGACTTTCAAAAAGCATCTTCTCAAGCTTAGTGGTCGGTACTTCAAACAAACAGCTCCAGACGAACGCCAACATATACGAGAGTACAATGATTGGCATTGCTCGATAAACGTACTGAAAAGCAGCACTTTAATCGGTTTTTCCATTCACCAGGACTGACTCATACCGATTCCCATATGGAGACGTAATGCGTTGGCCGGTCGTCTAGATTGAACACGTATTGAATCATGTAGAAATGAACAATATAGGCGCAATATGACAGTCGTCCAAGGGGTTGCCACAATGGATGATCCATGAAAGCGGCGATCGGACCTGAATTTTTTTTGTTGGTGAACAAAACAGTATATCGAAAGGTGCTGATAACTTTGGGGATGGCCACGGCTGCAAGCTTTCTCATTTTCATAACAGGGTCTCAAATCGAGACGTCAGGATCACCTTGTGCTCTGAACCCTAGTGAGCCTGACGCTGTTCGGCTTGGGAGGTGCTTTTTGCAACCTCGTTCAGTAGTCCCTGTTAAAAGTTACACATCTCTCTGGTGAGGCCTCTAGAATTTATGAAGTCTGAATGAAGCTCGTGCTATTGCATGGCTTTACAGAAGTTCTTAAAAGGCCTCCACAGGAGCTGCTGGTCTCCAAGCAAAATGCACCTACAAGCCGAACTGTGATGTGAGCCCCTTTTCTTTAACGGTCTCCGTATTCCCCCGGAATGCAAACTTAAAAGCGAGAGAGAGGAGTCACGTTCCGCAAAGGAATACGCGAAAAGAGATGACACAGCTGTACTGGTTCCTGAAAAAAAGGCCCTCCGGACTTGTAGGGGGAAAATGAGAGGCGCGACAATCGCGGACATACAATCTGGGTCGCTGTCGATGTGTCTACAAAAAGCGCCAAATGCAGCCCGCCCCCCCCCCGACACACCCCACCATTCGCAGCGAACGACGGGCACTGTTCAAG